CTCGACTGCGAAAGATTAGTGAGTGATAGTCGATCGATGGGGGCATTTTGAAGCTCACTCGTTGTGACTTGTATTATATTAGCTGACGCTTTCCATATCACTCTTCCAATAACTACACATCGATTTCCCGGCGTGGCGGGATAAGTTAATTGATGGAATTCATGGTCAAAGAGTCCTCCCAGGGGTGGAAAAGCCTGAAGTATTTATTGAGTGAGCAACTATGAGGGATAATCATGTCCTTGACTGTCGAATTCCACCTGATTAATAGATACACTCAGATGAATTGACTGACCAAAAATCGAAACACCCCCCAAAAGCCCAGCTCTCGAGTGTGTTTTGTCATAAAAGTTGGCGCGGTCGTGATGGTGATTTTGGGCAATAGAGAGAGAGAGCAAAAGAGAGAGAGGCCAAGGATAATGTTGGGGAGCAGTAAAATGTTTGTAGATTGTGCCAGAGTGGCAAAAAAGGACGATTGCGACGCAGAGAACAACAAATGTGGAAGTTAATGCGGGTGGTTTACAAGGTGAAGGAGTGGAAGAAGTAATAAAGAAGAATTATTATTCGTATTGATCCGCAAGCCATTGAGGGATAATTTCATTTTATGACTCTGCAACAATCACACCTACAATTGCGCTTATTGTTGCCCAAGAGAACTTTCACAGGCTCTGGATGGTGTGCTTTGGCAAACCCAATTTCCACGATCAATTGGCCAATTGGCGTTTCGTCCTTTCTCAAAATTTCCACATTCAATCCACCCTAGCAGTGTGAACTATATATATTCCTATCTGCATTTTGTTAATTAATAAACATTGTGGATGTTATTCCATTTTCCCAATTATTGTACAATGCCAAATATCCACTTTCAAATGCTATTCCAGAAACATTCTTTGATGTGGCGCCCCCGAATTGTGAAAGCTCATCGGCCACAGATATGAAATTCATCCCTCAAAAGCATACTTTCAGCCGAAGGACGGGGTCAATTCCATGTCAGCTCTTCGGTTCCACTCTATGAGAGCCATTATATATGATCCACAGATTTTTACTTATCATCTTCCCGAGCGCAAAAAAAGCGTAAAGTGGGTTTTCCATTCGAAACATCCCCCCATGAAATTCAACAAACACAACCTTTTCATAAAGCTTGTTTATCCAACATGCTTGCGTATTGGACAGCACAGACTTACAGTCCTTATACATATTATTGACACATGATTGAGAGAATGTTTACTTTGCGAGCAAATTTGTTTATCAGACGCTGTGAGATAAGATGTGATATTTGAAGAAATTGATAGTGACACAAATTATTCGTGCAATTGTGTGAAATAATGACAAAATCTCTGTCATTAACTGACAGCGAAGATGATTGTGGAATTCACAAATCGACGGGTGAATCGAAAACTATGAAAAGCCAAAAACACAATTTTTCAGCAGAGCGATTTCAAGATTTCGCTTCAATATCGCTGCAAAATTTGCCAAATTTATCTTAAAAAGCCTTCAAATCGTCCGTTAAAGTGTAAATATTGCTCTGAATTTATGATTTTATAAATATTTTAGTTGATTTTATCGGTATTTATTGGAAATTTTGACTAAAATATGCCAAAATTAATGGAAAATCTGAAAATTTATATTTTTCAAAATCTCTTTTTATTACTCTTCGAGTCGATTTTATTGAAAATAGTTCTAAAAATCAATTTTACATACTTTACTTGAACTTTTTTTTAAAGTTCTCAAGCAAAAAAAATTAAAAAGATATGAAAAATATTCATTCAAATTCTAAAAAACATTTAAGAATACTTTTGAGAATCTGTAATTATTTTCAGAAAAGGCGTTTTATGCGTTTGACTGCAATTTTTGAGATATTTTTCTTGGGGAAAAATTCTTCAGCGTAAATAATGAAAATTCGACTTTTCATTCGTAAAACATGACAATTTTTTTCCATTTGTGCTTTTTAGATAAATAAGATTTTTTCTATTGTCTCATAAGATACAAATCTCAAAATTTTTGTACAGAAAGAACAAATAAAAGGCTTTTCAAAAATACATAAAACGTAAACTATGATAAATCGACTTTTCATAGTTTTCCATTCACCCGTCGAAATATTCATCAAAAATTAGTGAAGACAAAGAAAGACTAAACACAAAAAAACTCACACGCATGCAAAATAACATGACACAGAATGTTTGAACAAACAATAATATCTGCTTACAATAAAACAACAATGTGATGTGGAAAATTTTTCAGACATGAATAATTCCAATTATGCGCAGCATTAAATATCATAAAATAGTGAGTGTTGTGTGCAAATGGCTGAAAGTAGTAACGCCAGAATAATGCCGATAATCTCAGCAAAGCCGTCCAAAAAATACGATGCATGTTTTAAAACCTGGGATCGTTATGATGATTGAAGCGTATTTCGGAATTTCGGTGAATTGGAATAATTTTTTTTTCACCGTTTTAAATTAAACCCACACTCAAGACAGAACCATCAAATTGGTGGATTAAAATGAAAATGTTTCCCATTAATTCCGCTACACTCATTACGAATGAAATTGATATTTTCCACCATCGCGCATTTTGTCGCGATTAACCATGCAATGTCGGCTCATGTGTGTGTGTCGTTTTTGTCCTGTGCAAATTGTGCCGCGGCGGTTGTTGGTTCGGCGTTGTCATGGAAAGGTGAAATTGATAAAAATTGAATAAATGACTATTGGGGTATCGATGATTGCAAATGCCGCAGACATTTATCACGCGCGTGGGTGGAGAAATACACTCACGAAGCGAATGGATAACGCAGCGGTGCCTAATAATTAATACGAATTACCAAGAATGTCTAGAATGAATATTTGATTTTCCCTGAAGAGCATAATGTAGAATTTCGCAGAATTCCACGAGAAAATTCCGCGGAATGCAATTTACCGAGAGGAAATTTCAAGCTCTGCCAATCAGTTAATTAGAGTGTTCAGTTATTGATCTTCAAAAGCGATACTCGTGAATATTTCATACACATGAATTTAATGAATTCCTGAGAAAATAAAATAACTTTTCGTAAGCTTAAATACACATAATGAGGATATTATATATTTATAATATTGTACATATTTAGACTAGAATCTATAACATTGAGTTTCACTGCTTGAAGCAAAGAAAAATTGACATTTTCTATTAATAAAACTTTATTCTTATTTAGTGAAAATGGATCGCAAAAAAATTGAAAATGTCAGAAAACAAATTTAGATAAAATGAAAAATTTAGTCTTAATATCGCTTTGAAATTCACTGATTTCACCTCAAGTTTAGCTAATTTTTCAATAAAATGATAATATTTCTCTTAATTAATTATTGTAAATAACCTCCAGTTTATTAAATATCTATTTTTTAATATATTTCAGCTAAACTATGACAAACAAATATTAAATACTAGATAGAAAAAGTCAAGGGGGCAGTCATTCGCAAGTTGAGACCATTAATTTTCAGATTATTTAATCATTTTTTTTATTATTATTTGTGATTATTAATCAAACTTTGATTATTTCATACAAAATTCTGATTATTCTTAATTAATTTCTGAATATTTCATTAAAAATTGATTTTTTCGTAAAAATTCTGATTATTTTTTGGTCATTTCTGAATATTTAATCAAAATTTGAATATAATTGAAAAATTGTGAATATTCAGAATATCCTGATTCATTGATTGAAAATAATCATTTTTTTATTATTTAATTCAAAATTTGATTATTTTTCCTATTTTTACATAGGAAAATAATCATTTTTTGATTATTTTACTGAAATAATTGATTATTTGATTGAGAACATTAAGTTTGAAAAAAGTCGATTTTACTTGTTTTTCATTTAAATCAAAGAGATTCTTAATTTTCCACTCAACTCTTATTCAATATTTACTTAAAAGTTGATATTTCATAGTTTACGACGTAAGAAATGTTAATAAATCTTTATAATTTATTTCAGTTTCAGAATGATCAAAAAACAAAGAGCTTTCCGAGTGTCTTTCAGATAGATTTTATCTGCTAAAATGTCTGTGATCGTGGGCGGTTTGCGTGCAAACAGGTGAAAGCGTCGTGAAAGTGAATTTCCGTGGGGTGAAGAAAAGCCCAGCGGAGAGCTTTGGCAGCGCACAATAAAGTGGGGGCAATGATGTGCAGGTGAAGAGTTCAATGTGGCATCATTTGTCATGCAGGAGCTTCATTTTTGCCGCAAATTCGCTCCTGCGTCGCGCAATGTCAAGTGTTCACACCGGTCAGAATCACATGGCGCGTTCGCAGGCGAACTAATTGACTCTCCATCGGCGTGTGATAAAAGTTGCGCGCCATTGCAGGTGATGTTTAATTGAATTATAGGAAAAATTGGAGCTTTGTGTGTGAGAGTCTGCTGTGTGTCGAATGGGGTGAATTTCTCACATTTATCTCACATACTCACGGACAAAGTTCCTCTGCTCTCTCAGGTCAGACACTTTGTACCAATATCGCAGAACATATAACTCAATTCAACTGATTGCAGAGGGAAGAAAAAGAGCCACAAAAGTGATGCTTTTGGGGGGTGAGTTTGGGGTGAAGGGAAAAATCGTGGCTCAGAGTAATTCAAGTAAACTCGATGTCTCTCTTCAGTATGTGTTTATTGTCGGTGTGCAATGTCTCTTTGCGGACAAACGACAAACATTTACATCGGACAGTCAAAACAGCTGAACATAAAACCAATCAAGGAATTTAAACATCGATACATGACATTGAGGAACATACCGTGTGCTGTGTCAAGTGTCTCGTGAGAGATTAATTGGGAGCCTCTCTGCGAGGGAGGAAGAAAGAATGGCCTGTGCGAGACTTTCGGGCGGGATTGTTGGTTGGTAATCGACTGTTTCACGTACAATTCACAACTGCCAACTCCCGAAAACCGATGAGAAACACTCCAATGACGTAATTCACGCACGCGCGCGCCCACAGGCGAAACGACACTTTCTCTACTGGTTCTCCGAATAGGAAAATTTTACCTTATCTATTGCCCTCTCGCTCGCTGACTTTTCCCACAATTTCCACGCACACAATCGCAGGATAAACGGAATTTGAGCAAAATTCAAGCAGGCGGACAAGAGGAATTTTGCAGTGATTTGACGTGTTTTTACTGCGTTTTATCTCGCAATGACAGCACTGTTTTTTTCCTCTCTCTTTTTTCGCCCCTGTCAAAAGCGCACGGCGAACACCAAGCAAATGAACACACGCAAAGACGGCTGGACAGATGTAACAATGTGAGCGCCACTCACACACAAGTCGACGGCTCTCGTGTGGCGGCGGCGGCTGTGGATGCGCCAGAAAACTATGCAACAGCGACGATCACACTATATCGAAATCAAAACACCACGCAAAAGGATCGCCGTGGCCGCGAGAGTGACAAGATTGCGGGCCGTTTGACGTTTCGCAGCGCCCCAAACGGCGGGTGTGCGACAGGCGCTCTTGCTTCCCCTTAATGCGGAAAAGAGAGAGAGCGGGATGGCGCGTGTCACCCTTCCCCAATGGAGAAATACGGGGCCAATTGATTGCACACACCAGAGAGGCTGCAAAACTATCCGCACAGGTCCTGGACTCGCGATCCTGGCGCCTTCAGCCACAGAATGTCCACCCAAGCAAACGGATAGGAGGGCAGGTGTTGGCCTGCACACACACAGAAATTCTACACACACCGAAAAATTAACCGTGGCGAGAGAAGATTGCTCGCAACTCGACTTTTGGGGCAAGAACACACACTGACGGCGCGGCGGTGGCTCGCCGCCCGCCGCCGTGCGACTCGGGATCGGGCAGGCGCGACGCCCGAGCGCCACCCGAGCGCCCCGCACGAGTGCAGCTGACGGAGCCGAGCTGCTCAGGGTTGGTTATTGATTGGCGCGCCGCGCGCCGTCTCGCTCTGTCCCACATCGTGCGCTCTCGCTCGCCGTCCCCCCGCCGGTGGAGCCTGGCGGACGGGAGTCTTGGGCTCCCGAAGCGCCTCAATTGGCGCGAAGGCCAGCGAAAGCTCCCAAAATTGCACAACCCACCTCCCCACCCCATCGGGGCGCCCCGGAATGATTCTACCGAGAATTTCGCCTTGTAAGTTTCCCTCAAGCTCTACGTCTATTGATTTTGTGGTGGCGACGGAGCTTTTTGGACGCTCGCCAAATATCCCCCACACCCCACAGCGCTCAGCCAGATCGAAACTGAAATGAGTTTCTTCCGTGGCACACATGAGCAGCGCCCCACCACGGACCCTCCCGGTGACGGTGTGGAAAATTCAGCTTTCCCACAGCTGTTGGGCATCAGGGTGGCTCATCTGGAGGGCATAATTCACGGGCGGGCGGCGCGCGAGGGGCGATTTCAGCACTGGATTTGGACTAGAGCTCCGCCGCATAGGAGTTAATCAATGGGTTAAATTGTAAACGGCCGCTATAAATATACAGACTCGATTTCAGAGATATTTTCCCAATAAAAATACAGCTGCGATAAATTAAACCTATAATCCTTATTCCTGAGTATTGGAAAATGTTAGAAATGGTCTTTGAAAATTGATCTGAGAGCTTGAAATGTGCCAGAAATTCAAAAGCGAAAACCATTCAAATGGAATAATTAAATGTCTCGGGATTCGGACTTGATTTCTAGAAATATATAATTTTTCTTATACGCTTATATGCTTAAAATGTCCTTTTTTCACACAATTTCAAGAGAATTATAAGACTGAAATTGACAAATTAGTCCTTAGATTGCCAATTTGTACTATTTTTGTCCCAGAATGTGTGTTAAAACTTGATTAAAAATTCATCAGACGCTCTGAATTAGTGCTAAAATGCACTTGCTTGCTCAAGTAGCATCAAGAAGCATTTTGGGACCCGCTGTGACTTAGCAATTTAGAGACATTTGCTGTCGTAAAAAAAATTGTTTAAAACTTTGAAGAACTTCTGGAGGACACAATGAATTGTCTATTTTAATCCATATTGAAATCTACCAGTGAATGCACACGGAATTAATTGAACTCTGCCTCATCCGTTCTATTCAGCCTCCAGTTTGGTTTTGGACAAGAAAATAATTTGCATTGTGGCTCCTCGGAATTCGGGCTTGTGAATGCCTTCGCCTGATGCAGGCATTGAGGCGGAAAATCCTCAGCTGAAGCTCCGTTGTTTACCATGGGCTTTTCCTAGGATACCAAATTCATGGGGCGTCAGAGTGGGATCGATGAATGGTTCGGGGGAGAATATTTAAAATTCCCTCCCCTTCTGACGATGTCATGGGAGAATTTCCCAGTGATATATTTCCATATTATAGTGGGATCTTGTGTTTTGTGATAAATAAATGTATTAAGACACACAATATCCGAGAGAAAAAAAAAGGCGGAATGAAAATAGGCCAAAATGGTGTGGAGAAAAGCAACAACATGAAGAAAAAGGGGGCAACGGAAAAATTGCCTCCGAGAGCTTTTGCAGAACGTGAGTGGAATATGAAATTGAAAAGCGGAAATGTTATTATTATTGGTTTGAAATTTCCTTTCACGCATTGCCTAATCGTTAGTCAAAACTCCCCGCGCGCGCCTTAAACCGCAATGAGTCAAATTTGAATTATACCAGGCAAAAAGTGAAAAGGAGTCTTTTTTTTCCCTCCACCATGACTTCTCATCCCCCAATTGCGCTTCACCGCTAATCTATGTGTACGAAGGTATATCCTGTGGGTTTAATAATAATTTCCTCTCTCTCTCTCCACTTTCCATCCTGAATTCCATTCTCGACGGGGGAATCCTTGTGTCTTAGGCAGGATAGATATTTGGTATTTTGGCTGCTTTGCCTGCAAATTTGCGATTCTCGCTCCCTTTGCCTTTGTTCCGGCCAGAACCACTCATTAAATCAGTCAATTCGTATTCATTGTGGAGGCGCCCCTTTTGTGGGGAGGGTGAAAAAGTATTTGGGGGCCTCTCGGAAGGGGAATTGTAAAATTTCTCATTTCTCAATTAGTCACGTACAACTCCACGATTAATAGGAGCTAATTGATGACAAACAGAAGGGGAAAGTTCCATTATTGTGCTCAAATTCACGATGGCGGAGGTTGTTATATATGAAAATGAACCGCACAGAGGTGTTAAAGTGCCACAAGAACTTTTCCCACGCTTTTTTTCCTCCATGACCTTCAACTTTAATTGTTTTGGGACGAGAGAGAGAGAAAAGGGAAGGCCAAAATACGACCCACGAAAGCTCAAGTAAATTGGGCGGCTTTCCCAAGGGGCGAGACAACATCGAGTGTAATTTATTGTTTGTCCCATTTCACAGCGCGAAAGCTCATGCAGAAGAGCACAGCATTGGCGGTGTTTAGTATGCAAAACAGTCTTCTAATGAGCTTAATTGTTGCAATATCAAAATCAAATGTTCTTTTCAATAAAAACCTATTTCGTTGCACATTCCAGCGATGATGGAAATGATTAGCAAATATTTAGAAAGCTCTCGAAGTTGCAAAGTTTTTCGTCGCACGTGTGCTATTTTCTGTACATAATTTCTCAATTGAGGGAAACCTGAAAAAGAACACCAAATGAGACACTCACACACAGACAAGTTTCCATCATTAAACTTCACAGCGGGTGAGAGCTTTTCTATGCCAACACGGTGCTTTACAGATGAATAATTTTCAAGTTTGTTTTCTTCGCCAGTGTTTGAGGAAATTTGCATAGTATTTTTTGCGTGTGCTTCAACACTGATTCAACCGCACAGCTTTTCACTCACCCCCACCCCCCCCCCACCCCCCGCCCCCTCGAAGGAAGCACACGTGTGTGTGTGTGTGCGCGCTTTTCCAGCCGGAGTGAATTCGGAAAATGCTATATGGGGAAAAAAATTGAGAAATGAAATGAAGAATATGTGAGACGAATACAGAAGATCGATGGTTAAATTTTCATAATAAATACATAATATATTTGGGAATATTTTTCCCTTTGAGGGAAATTTGATTTCCGCCACATTTCCGTCTAAAAATAAAACACAAGAAGTCAAGAGGTGGAGGAAAAATGGGGGTGAATTTCTGTACTCGAAAGGGATATGCCAAACAAGAAAAACCCCCAGCAAAAGTGGGCGTGCAATTGTATTCTTTTCTCGGCATCGGAAAGTTTTATACATCCCGAACAAAAATCATCAAATATTTATATGTCATTTATCATTCGGAAGCAAAATATTTGAGTGTCTGCCATTCGTTTGACTTCTTCTGCTGAAACTTGCACAGTCAATCGATTTTCTTCCACCCTTTCTGCCAAAGTGTCTCAAGCATTGCTCTCGCCATCGGAAGAAATGTGACAATTTCATGCCAAAGTGATTACAAAATGGGAAGAGAGTTAAATATTCTGATTTGCTCCACATTGAAATGCACTTGAGTAGTCTGACAGTGTTGGGGTGTTTTGAGGTGGAAAATACACACTGAAAGCTCTCCTTTCGTGTGAACTTAGGAACTTTGTGAGAAGCAAGAGAAGCTTCGAAGGGATGCATGACAAAAATTTGTTGAAAATGCACATAATTATCGATTTCTGTGGAATGTTTCCCATGAAAATTCATACAAGAATCTCATGAATGCTTGGTTGAATCATTTATTTTAGAGATTTCAATGGTGTGCGTCGAATAAATAAGAGAAGTAGCGCAAAATACTTCGACTATGGAATTTTTTTCAGTTGAAATTCCTACCGATCAGAATGCAATTTTATTAAATTGTTCAGAAAGTGAAGAGAATTCTCTATTTCCGCCAGAACAGGAAAGCCATATGAATATCTCGCTTACGCACAACTTTTATCACTTTATATTGAATTTTAGTGGTTTCAAAGATGAGAGAAAAACCATAAAATGCTGGAATTTCAACATATTCAGCTGTAAACACATTTTTTTCCCTGCAGTATTTTATAATCCCAACTTCATTCGATATCATCAAATCCATTTATTTCATGCTTTGCCGCATTCTGTCATCGGGATATTAAATTCCAATTATTTCGTGAGAGTGGATAAAATATTTTCCATAAATTTATTTCCCATCAAAACAACTGGACAATATTTAGGGGGAGAAATCCACACACAAAGTGTATAATTTTAAACTTAGTAAATGAAATTTCAAATTTAATACACATATCATCACCATACATAATGTGTAGCTCGAGGGTGGGTTTTTTTTTGCATCCCCCACACG